ATTACAGATAAAAGTATAAACGAAGAAAAAGATTGCACAATCCGACCAAACGTTACTAAACGTAAATAAGAGACTTAAAATAATTTCCTTAACAACAAAAAAAAACTTTTAGTATAGAATAGTGCGCTAAAATTAACGTACAGCTGTTAAAGTGAGAAAAAGGGGTATTTTTTTCTCGACCAGATGTACTTAAAAGGGACAACTTAAATCTAATAAAGTGGTACAGAGGCGTAACATAGAAAGTTTATCGTTACATATTAAGCTTAAAAATATTTGGTATTTTCAATCATATTTATTGTAAATTTTATATAATTATTATTTATTTAAATAAATACCGTCACCTTTAAATTAATAGGATTTGAAATTTAATATAACAGTATATAGACCATAGATGTAAATACAGGGTGAGTCTTAAATATGTGCACATATTTTTACAGGGCTGGCAGATCTCGATAGAAAACATATTTTCTCTATGCCGTTTTTCAAATACCTAAGTCCAAAATAACCGAGATATTTTACTTTAAAAATATATTTTTTGGTCTAATTTTGTAAATTTTCTTTGTTGTAAATTTAATCTAATGTTGCCATATTATTAAAATATTATGTTTTTAACTAAAAATTATTTTTTTAAAAATACAAAATTTTTAACAATTTTTTTCGAGAAAAAACATATTAGTCGTGGTCCTGAGATCGAAGTATACCATCCTAAAAAATATGTGTACCTACTTATTTAACACACATTGTTTAATAATAAATCATAAATTAATTTTGTTTTAGTGAATGTAAAGATTCCCCAAACAAATTATTGAAAATTATTATTTTTTTTAAAGAAATTGTTAACGATTATTAATTTTTATTTTTTCATTCAAATGTTAAAATTTCCATAATACTCTTTTTGTCATATCATAGTTCTATTTCTGTATAACCTTTACAAAGTACATAATACCGGGTGCGTCTCGAAAGTAGCTCACCCCTGGCTCATTAGCATATTTGGAAAAGCATTTTTTTACGAATATGTTGGTAACACACACTTGATATTTCGAAACAAATTGTCGTTATGAACCGCATGTTACAATTTCAAATAAACCACATATGCGAATATGTCAAAACTTGACATATGATATGTCATTTCATTCAGAGTGTCATTTTCTATCTAATAAAGTAGAAATAAACCGAAGGTGCCATTTAAAAATGACACCCTCGGTATTTTTTACTTCATTTGATAGAAATATTGATAGAAGTAGTCATTTCCGGTGAAACAGGAAGTGACCAAAAACAATTGAATACACCAATCAATCCTAATTTATGTCATATACTAACATACGAAATCTCATGTTTTTATCTGAAAAAATAAAAATGTTATAGGGGTGAGCCACTTTTAAGACGCACCCGGTATTTTCAATTTATGTCATATACTAACATACTAAATCTCATTTTTTTATCTGAAAAAATAAAAAAGTTATAAGGGTGAGCCACTTTTAAGACGCACCCGGTATTTTCACACTGTTTTTAACTTCTATATTAAATTTTAAATGTCATAATCATAAATTATTGAAATAATTACAATTCCTATCCTACTTACATAATTTGCTAAAATAAAAAAAAATATATTTTCAAAATCATCACAGTTCGAACATTTTATAATTCCCCAAAATAGTTTTCTTCTATATTTTTCAGAACACGTTCAAAAGGGTCTGTTTAAGAAACCTTTAAGTTCAAAGAAGGAACCGCACCTACTATTGTGAATAACAAATCACATTCTGAAAAGTAATAAAATCCAAGCTTGAGTAAACAAGAGGATGATCTCTTTGGGTATGATAGGGATATCGGAAAAACGTATTAATGTTAATCTCTTTTATGTTCATCCTTTTTAAGGGCATTGCTGTTTATTTTCTGAAGAATTGTTTGATATTCTTTAACTTGGTATTATTTGTACTTGTACAGTAAAACCTATTATAACAAGAAAAATTGCTTTGTAATTCATTTCTTTCTATAGATATTTTTAAACTATTTATTTTTATGTGATAAACTCTACCAAAAAATTGCAAGAAGTTTATAAATATACTTTTTCTCAAACGGTATTATTGATTTATTATGATATTTGATCTTGGTATTATAATCAATAATAATACCAAGAGAGTAAACGCTTAATTTAAGTTTTTTTAGAATTTTACACCTTGTATTAAAGTTTGGACCAATACCGAATACTTAAGAGTATCTGTTCTCATAAACTACCAATACTTAAAATATTAAATTTGAAAGAACTGAGACAACACTGAAATTTTAATAATTATCCCTCGAATCAACCGCATGCTAGAAATCTTACCAAATTTTATAAGAAACTCAATTATCTTTCTAAATCTGAAAAAAATGAATAGCCTGATGAAATAGTGTTATAGTTTTCACTAAAACGTAAAACTATCAGTGATATCTGTAGCTCTGTAAATTAGAATACTATTTAACTTTATAAAAAGTAATAAGCTATATATTATTATCATTAAATTCTAGATATATAATTGAGTTATTTTATTTCCTAGTAAAAGACAAATTAATAAAGTTGGTTGCTGTCTAGGGCTTGACCTCGCCTAAATTATCATCGATAATTGTCTTTCCCCAGCCGTCTTTTTTCGATCATACGGTATATGCCATTATCGGAGATTGTCAAAGAAGTCAACTAATATCGTAAACAATCTAAAATATTATTTTATTTTTTAAATAACATAATAGAAACGTTTAAATGCCTTTGTGCAAGATTACTAAACAAGAACGAAACTGTGTATCTGATTTTTAAAAAGAAATTGTAGTTTCTGTACAGCAACGCACGAAACCATTTGAACTGAACCCTTGAACCTTCCTTATTTGTGTATACCTGCGGGTTCTATATTTCCGATAAACAAAAATCTGAGAAGAAAGCACCATAAGCTGAAAGGAACATTGTTTACCTTTTAAGAACTTATTTTCCGTAAACAATATTTTTGTAGTGCATAAGATATGACTCCAAAGGTATAAAAAGTAAAAAACTTAATCTAAATTTCGGTTATTTTTGATATAGTATCAATCTTGGCCCAACTCTAACAATCATATTTTTCATAATCGTAAATACTAAAAAATATAAGAATTAAAATCAATATAAAGTCATTGTAAGAATAATGTCATGTCATAATCAAATTTTACTGTATTACCTCCATGCTCATCAAATTTGAATAAAATTTATTAATTTCTAGACTAACTAATATTAGCATCACAACATCAAAATTACAGATAAAAAGAATCTTGAACAAACTACTACTTAGTGCTAAATAACGGCTGTCATCAGTGTCAAGAATATTTTTGAATTGTATCAAGGAAAAGACAACATAAAAATATTAATCAACCTTAAGCTTAAGCTTCATTCAGAACCTCGCCAATTAGTGGAATAAATTAGTGGTTTCAATTAGCGTAGAAGTTTGTTCATTTAATTTCAATGTAAGCATTCAGAAGGTCAAAATTAGTGGTAGACATTTTCAATTAGTAGAAAAAGTTATCAAACTTGTAACTTATCCATTAATTATACTTCAAAATTTGCGAGATATGTCATTTTGGCATTTGATTTCCTTCAAGAGAAATTGTGGTTAGAAATCAAAAGCTAATTGTTTTATAAGCTATATATTATCCATATTGTACCCATAGAGAAAGTCTAATATTTAGCTTATAGAACAATAAACTTTTGATTTCTAACCACACTTTTTCTTGACGGCTGATAATCAAGGGACAAAATGACATTCCTCGCAACTTTTGAAGTATGATTAGTGGAAAAGTTAAAAGTTTGTTAACTTTTTCCACTAATTGGAGATTACTACCACTAATTTTGACGTTGTGAATGCTTACATTGATATTAGAGGAACAAACTTCTACACTAATTGAAACCATTGATTTATTCCACTAATTTTGAGGTTCTGAATCAAGCTTTACACGGTGTTGTTAGCAGTGACATTTTATAAGCCACTTTTAAATAAAAAGAATACATAGTAACATTTTTGCTGATCAGAAAAAACGAAATATTGCTTGGTATTCTTGTTCTTTAAGGAGTCGTGCAGGTTCCTGCGTAGGCGTTCATCTTTCTCTATTAGTTGCAGCGCCTTGGAGTGCTTGGAACTCTTGGCATTGCAATGACAAATAATTCTCAACCAGGATAGCTTTCTTTGGTCTCTTTTACCTCTTTTGATTTTACCCTGGACAATTAAATGCTGAACAGCGTCTAATACCAGCATTCTCCACGTAATATATAATATATATCTCAATATAGGCTATATTTCTCTTCTTGATGATTTCGAAGAGTTCATGTTCGTCTTCTGAGAATATCTTGTTGTAGGGTCCCACACTTCTAAGGTTTCAATTCTATTTATAGTTGTTACTTTCAATCTCTATGCTATCACTTAGACATAGCACTTCACCATTCCGTATCTAAGACCGAAATTCACGTGACTCAGTAAATGATCTTTCCACATATAAGCTCAACCAACATTGGAGACTAAATACAACCCTGACTTGCTTCGTTTTTTATTTCATATATCTTCTGATACTCCCACGTTATATACGAATTTCAGTTTTTTTTTGGTTCCAATACAAATTAATGATCAGACTTATCAGTCCTCTAAACCTCTGAGGTATCTGATAAGCTTTTCTCTGATCTTGACAATGCTGTACTAATGTTTGAAGTTTCATGATAACATTGATAGTATTGCACTTTAATTTTATTTTAAAAGTAGCTGTAATCGAAAACTTTGCCGTCTACACTTCGTCAACATCGAAATATATCATTCTATATTAGACAAGCTGTATTCTTGGGCATTATTAAAAAAATATTAGCTTTTGTGGAAATCTATTTTATGAATCTTGCAGATCATCTATTAAATAAAAGAAAAACCTTTTAACAATACTGATTTTACATTTTTGATGTCAAATATCAGAACACTGAAGACAGCTTTGGACGAGCCCCTATTTATAATTAAAATATTCTATTTTTTTTCTTATATTAGGCACATATCTTTGACGCAAGCTCGTTTAAATATTCTAGTAATCTCTCTTTCATCAAAATACGAGTGACGTATATAAAATTCATTATGTTTCTAAATCTATAGAAAAGTTAAGACAGTCTAGCTTTATCTATGTTCGCTATCTCCGTCTCGGTGAATCCCAAAATGCTCTGGATGGCCTTCAAGTGGCCTTGATTGTTCTCCTTATCAGTTAGAAAATAGTAAATAGCTGATCTGAGAAACTGCAGAGTGATCTCGGGATCGATCTTGTTCTTGCTCTTGGCTTCCATCAGTTGGCGATACATAGCCTGAAATATAGAAATTTAATTTTATATTAATTTATAAAAAAATTGTTTTAAATCATGCAGTTAAAGAAGTTTAAGAACAAATATTTGAAATTGTCCTATAGAAAAATCTGTCCGAGTTAAGGTTGATTCTCACTATACCTTCAGTTTCCATTCCATATCCATTCCATATCCGTTCCGTATTTTTATTCTATTGACGTTATACGTAAGCTTTCCGTATCAGTTCCATACTTTTATTGTACAAGTCATATCATTACGAAAGTTTTATTTTAAAAATGTGTATCTTTTGAAAAAGGTAATAGATTTAATTAAGGGATAAAAGCATAAATAAATATCAGCAAAATGTTAGCAGAGCTGGTACAAATGTAAGAACTTGACAACGCTGTTTCCGATACGCTTCAGTCCGTCCGCCAAAAAAATGTATGGAAGGAATGGATATGGAACGGAAGGGAAATGGAACGGATAGTGTGCATTGTCCTATTCATTTACATGATATAATATTTTATGTTAACGGAAGGGAAACGGAAGGGAGCTGATATAGTGAGAGTCAACCTTTAACTGTCCATTCCCTTTATAAAATGTTTAAATTAAAACAATGTTTGTTTTAATATTATAATGAACAAATAATATAATACAATCAGCCTAGTCTCAACAATTTAATTCAAATGCTACAAACATTTCCTTATAAGGAATATACTATACTATGTGCGTCTCAAAAGTGTTTTTATTTTTTCAAAACTTTTTTATTTTTTCAGATAAAAAAAACGTATTACGTATTCAATTATTGTTTTTGGCCACTTCCTGTTTCATCGGAAATCACTACAACTTTTGATTTTTCAATGGCACCCTCGGTATTTTTTTACCTTATTCGATAGAAAATGACACTCTGAAGAGAATGACATATCATATGTCGACATTTTTGCGTATGGTTTATTTGAAATTGTAACATGCGGTTTATAACGTCAATTTGACACGAAATACCAAGTGTGTGGTACCAAATTATTCGTAAAAAACTTCGCGCTTTTTTCAAATATGGTAATGAACCACCCTCTTTCCATTTGAGAAAATTGAGATATAATTAAAAATAGGATTTGTGAATCTTCTAACCGGCCAGGACAAGACACTAAAAATATTAGAGGATCAAATCTAGTTTTCTAAGGCTCCTTGATAAAAATTAGCGTTTTTAACACACCCATGGCAATCTAGATTGAAATTTAAAATACAATTTTTTTCAAGCGAGAATGTCAAAAGTTGACATATGATATGTCATTCTATCAGAGTGTAATTTTCTATCGAATAAAGTAGAAATATACCGAGGGTGCTATTTAAAAATCAAAGGTTGTAGTTCTTTCCGATGAAATAGGAAGTGACAGAAAACAATTGAATATCTCAATCAACCCTAATTGATGTCATATACTAACATACCAAATCCTATTTTTTTATCTGAAAAAATAAAAAAGTTTTAGGGGTGAGCCAATTTTGAGACGCACCCGTATGAGAAAAGATTTTTGAGAAGAACTTTTAACATAAAAATCGGGGTAAATTTGGTTTGACTTTTCTATTGGACATAACTAATAGTGCTAAAAAAATAAAAAAAATATGAAAATATACAGGGTTGTTCACCTCATACGACACGGAGTATTGTAGCTAAACGATTAGATTTTTGCAAATTGTATTGTAAGTTTTGGGTTCGTTGATTCTATTAGAGCTACAATTTAAACATATTTTTACAAGTTATAGAGTGTTCCAAGTCCCAAATAAATAAAAAATTATCAAACTTGTATTTTTTAAATGGAACACCCTGTATATTATTACATTTTTAGTTTCTACTATTAAAATAAAGACAAATTTGATTAAGGTTTACCGTATTTTAATCTTGTCGTTTTTGAAATATTTACGTTTTTGTCAAAATACAATATTAGTAATTTTAATGCTTTATTTCTCTAGGCGCATTAAATCCAAATATTGTACTGAAGTTTTTCTATTTATTAAGTTTTGTGTTGCAATAATAAAATTTATACTACCTTATACAGAGTGTCTAAAAATTTAATTTAAATAGTTACTAGCTTTAAACGGCAATAACTTTATAATTTAAATTTTCGAGAATTCGTAAATCAGATGCACAATTTAATTCTCATTGTATTACAATATCATTTTTTACCTATCTCTTCAAATTTTTATAGAAAATGCAATTTTTTTTTTAATTTAGACCCCATTTATCAACATACCCATGGAATATTGACATTTTAGATTATTTTTATGTATATATAACAAATTTTCAAGAGCATCAGATACTCGTATTGTCGATATAATTCGCTTATTTCATTAAAAAATAAAATAAAAAATATCTATGCCTATGTGGCGGATTCATCTCTCCAAAAAATCATATATGGGTATTTCGCCACTGCAAGAAAATCTACAAAATAAAATAGTTATTTTTTGTAAACACCTCTGCGTTAACCCAAACGGAAACTACTTGTCAGAAGTTAGGTTTACAGATATACAAATTTGCCTAACAAACAAAAAAATGCTTAACGTTTTGGAAAGTTTATCTCTTCCCGTCGTGTTTTTTTTTCGTTTTTTTTTGTTCGTTAGGCAAATTTGTATATATCTAAACCTAACTTCTGACAAGTAGTTTCCGTCTGGGTTAACGCAGAAGCGTTTACAAAAAATAACTATTTTATTTTGCAAATTTTCTTGCAGTGGCGAAATACCCATATAGGATTTTTTGGAGAAAAAAAAATGTTTAAAGATTTGTTAAAGAGGACCAATTAATAGGATCTCACTATTCAAACTACATTAGTTGATTGTTTGCATTGGTTGATAATAATTGCTCCAAATACTAAAAAACTGAATTTTGTATGTGTATTATACAGTGTGGTAAAAAATAAGGATTTCTGATTCAAATCCACATTTATTTACAATAATTTATTAACTAAAACAAATAAGTATGTAATTAACTAATTTTTGGGCGGAAATAATGGTGGTATATTTAATTGATATACTTTTTTACTAAGATTTAAATAGTTTTATTTTTGTAAACAAATGGGCTTCCAATATTATCGTTTTTACCACCTGTACATTTTGTACATTTGTTGCTTTAAAAAAAATCTAAAATGTCAATATTCCATGGGTATATATATATATATATATATATATATATAAAAAAGTAAACATTTGTACCTAATCTTTGGTACTGGTATATAATTAAAGCTGCAAATTAAAATTTAAAAAATACTCAGTGGCCACTTCTCCATCTCTCTAAACTATAAAATGTATCTATTACTCCGACATATGACATCACCTTTTGCTTTGTGAAAATGTTTTGCAGATTAAGATTGTGATGTATTTTGTGATTTTGCTTAGTCCTATATGAAATATCATAACTTATTTTGAAAATCACCGCTTGAAATTCTTTCCTCTGTAAAATAAGAAAAAAAGAGTTTTCTTTCACACTAACGAAATAAAGCAATAAGCATGTTTTAGTACATATATTAAAGCAGTGCTGCTCCTTGAGTAAAGCATATAGTCAAACAAAAATAACAAACATAATATGAAAAGATGCATGATACGCACTGCAGCAAATTTCGGCTTAAAATATTACATCCCATCGGTAACGTTCATAACTTTGGCTCTAAAAGTAATAAACCGACTAAAAGCCGAAAAGAAAAGGAAAAAGAACGTTATATGACCGGTAATATTTCTCGCGCTGCGCTCAGCTGTGAAGCAAATATCTACAGGGTGCACTAAAAAAGGTCGTTAATGTGTTTACCTTTCGTGCACCGAGTACCCAAAGCGACAGCGCCTCTTTGGCGCTCAATAATGGTTGCGAGTGGTTAGAAGTTGACGCGTACTCTACGTCCTAGAAATGACAACACAACAAATTGGGTATGAGTGTGATATTCTACAAAAACCATTAGCAATTAGTATGTAACTTTATGAAGGAATAAAACTTTCAAAAATATTTTTGATATAATTTTTCTGTATATGTACAAAAAAGTATGTATATACTGAATGTCTTTAAAAAGTTTATGCTAATTTTTATATGTATAAAGGGGTCTACGTATAGTTCATATCAAATAAACTTTTAGTCACGTGTTTGAGCTTGATCGGCACAGCGTTGCCAATTTTTCCGTATTTTCTTTTAATCAAAATATTTTAGGAAATAAAAATAAATTAATTATAAATACAAGGTGGTCCGAACTGTATTCGGGAAACTTCGGCAGCATGTTCTGCAGATAAAAATAAGTAAAAAAGTTCGTACAAATGTATGTCCTAAAATGCATAGTTTCAGAGATACAGGGCGTAGAATTTTCATTTTTATTTTTATTTTTTTCCAAATAATTTCTGAAGTAACGTCAATATTTGGATGAAAATTGGTGTCTGGGAGTTTTTTGACATGAAAAATTTGATTTTGATGTCAATATGACTCCTACTAGTAGAGGGCGCCACCTACATGTGTTTAAACAGGTTTGAAGAGTAATAACTTTTTGTCCGTACCAGTATAAAACTATCAAGGGAAAAAATATACATCTCTGTGACTTTTTACGTAAAAAATATATCTTTGTAAAAATCGCTACGAGCAACCGTTCCCAAGATATTTAGAATGGAAATAGTCAATATATGTCATTATTGACGAAAAATAAGCATGTTGAGTAGATAGCTCTTTGACTGAAATGATAAATTTGGGAAATTTTTGTCTTTTTAAACTAATCATAATTTTTTCTGCCAAAAAATAACGATAAAACAGTTTCTGTTGAACTTTTGGCACAAACATTTCAAATTTATGATTTCAGTCTAATAACTACCGTATGTTCGAATAAAAACGGCGTCCAGTTGGCTTGGAAATGACGATCGATGACATTTCCCATATAAATTTACATATAAAATGACAGGCGATCTTCATTTCATAGCCATCGCTGACGCCGTTTGTATTCGATCATACGGTATTTAGTCAACATGTTTAATTTATGTCAATGATGACAGGTATTGATAATTTCGATTCCAAATATCTCGAAAACCATTCCTCGTAGCGATTTTTACCAAGAGACCTTTTTTACGTAAAAAACTTCGTAAATGTATATTTTTTTACTCAGTAGTTTCATACAGGTACGGACGGAAAGTTATTACTCTTTATACTAATTAAAAAATATGTAGGTGGCGCCCTCTACTAGTAGGAGACATATTGACATTAAAAAAAATTAAAATCAAATTTCTCATGTCGAAAAACTCCCAGACACCAATTTTTATCCAAATATTGACGGTACTTCAGAAATTATTTGGAAAAACCCGAAATAAAAATGAAACTTCTACACACTGTATCTCCGAAACTAAGTTTTTTAGGACATACATTTATACGAAGTTTTTTACTTATTTTTATTTGCAGAATATGTTGCCGAAGTTTCCGGAATACAGTTCGGACCACCCTCTATATGAATAGTTATCATTTACATCAACAAAACTCACCTTCTTAACAGCACTTAAGAGACATAAAAGACCATTACTAACGCTTTCCCATTCTAACTGTTATAATAAAGTTGCGATGAGTTTTTTTACGGCTATTAAGCTATCTTGTACACTTTGCACTAAAAGAGGTTCTAAAAAGAACAATGTTCGACTGCAAGGTCTGATAGTAAACATTTTTAAGCTTAAAGTATCCCAACACTATTTATTTAAACCAAAAACTCGTAATACAAAACTAAAGTGTCAAAACGAATGACGATGTAAGGAAATAAATAAATAAATGTGGCAACTTGACATTTCTTACATCAGATAGTTACCACCTGAATCCCCAGTGGTAAATTTAAATTCCAGTTAGTCAGCCCGGAGCCGAATATGTCCATGGTTGGCAACAATGAATTTAAGAATTGAGCCCTCGATTACGCAACTAAAAGTTTAATTGGTATCGAATATACATCGTGTTGTACGAGCAATATCTATTCATCAACTTTTAGTCGCTAATAGCAACTATTTGCAAACAAATTTACAAAAAGGATGCATTATTAATACCTACAAAGGTCAATAAAATTATGAAAGCATAATAGTTAATATTGTAAACTAGCGTATATATTATTGAAAATCTTATTTATTTCAAAAGTGGTTTTTGCAGGGTAATTAATTATAATTAGCAGACGTTTACAAAACCCATAAAGGAAATAGTAGGTAGTAATTATTAAATATTTCTTTGTACCTTTATATTTTCTAATTCGTTTTTTGTCACCTGAAGTTCGTTTAATAATTCAGGAACGGAAACTCTGTTAGGATGCTGCCTGGCAATTTCCATAACCTAGAAAATTATATGAAGATACATAAATGAAAAGCTCTACAGTTATAGTCTGGCTTCACATATTGTTATTAATGAAATTAATTAGGATTTTATAAATACTTACAGCGTTTTCTTGCTCCATTCGAGCTGCAGCTTGACCTTGCGAGTACATCTTCAAATATGTTTGTTTTGCATGACTTTCTTGCTCTTCTAATTTCTTGCTAGCCTGTTCTAGTTGCGATTCAAGTTCTTTAATTTTTTCTTTGGCGGCATCCAATTCGGGGACCAGTTCCCAATATCTGAAACCATGAGTCTAATAACAATAAATGTAGTCAAACATACCCAAAAACTTTAGTGTAGAACTATTAACTTTATAAGGGAATAATTAGTGTAGCAAGTAATATTGCCCCTTTATTAATATTAGTCCAAAAATCATCTCATGCTTTGCAAATATCCAAGCAGTTTTCTAGGAATAGAAGCTAGTGTGTTATGGCGAAGAGAAAGTTTACAAACAGGAAGACCTGGATATTATTGGAGAGAGTTAAGTATCAGTAAAAGCACCAGCGTCATTACAAATAAAATCAATTAATTTATTCATTAATATCCAGCAATTAATAGCCCTTGCTATGAAAATGAAGACAAAAGAGGTAATTGTGATACCAAAATTACCGATGTGGATTCAATCTTATGATAAATTTGTGAAGAACGAGCAAAATTATTTAAATTTTCAAAAAACGTAGTTATAAAAATAGCTATTTCTGTAGAAGTACTTATGGAAGAAACTAAGTCATATTCAAATCTAGAAGGCCACTTTATCTAAAGAAGAAACCATTCGACCAATATGTACTACCAGTCATGTATGTCATGACTGGTCATGACCTATGCATGCGATACTTAAAACAAGGTTAAAACGGACATTATAAGGAAACTGCAGGTCTCACAACGCCCAATGGAACGACATGCTTGAAATAACTAAGAAAGACCGTAAAAAAGTTGAGTAGATACGACAAAAGACCCAGGTAATAGATGTCTTCCACAGAATTAAATCCCGCGAGTGGAAATGGGCAGTACACCTGACAAGAAGGACGGACAACAGATGGACCACAAAAATTACAGCAAGGTACCCACGAGAAATTAAGATACCTAGAAGAAGACCAAACTTGAACTATATTAGGAAATAGCAGAGATAATTTGGACTCGCATAGTCAACAATAGACAACAATTGGTCCAACTCCAAAGAGAATATCTAAATATGTGAGGGAGGCTACACCATAATTGGAATGGTTGAATAAGCTGAGAATGATAATAATGATGATGATGATGATGGTGATAAAAATAGTATCAGAGCACAGTTGTTGAACTGGAAAAAAACAACAGCTCACAAAATGGATAGTTTACAGGACACGCACTGTTCTACCGACTACGAATAGAAGCAATATGCAGTCAATATTCAGAAGAAGATGCGAATTGAACGCACATTATGAACCAAATTGAGGACTATTCAGAATTCAGAATGCTTCACTTAGAGGAACACAATTTATGATCAGCAGTTCTTGGCTAAATGGAAGCTATCCGTTTAAAATTGTTAGAATTGACATAGCACATCAATCAAGAATCTAAATTAAATTACGTTAATGGAAGCAATGTATATAATGGAAGCAGTAGGTATTTTACGTTGACTACAAAAAAGCCTTCGATCGAATACAGCACGAAAAATTACGAGAAGTTCTCACTGAGGTAGGCTTAGATGAGAGAGATATAATTATAAGGAACATATACTGGAATCACAAAGGTTGTGTCAGAACAGAACTGACAGAAGAAAGTATCAGGATGGGTCTAGAGATTAACACCGTCAAGACAAAAACTATGATTTTCAAAGACAACCACAAGACAATGAAAACACCGACATAATGATAAACGGCGTCCATCTCGAGACCACGCAGAGATATGCCAGGGAATTAAACAGCCTAGCTAGACCACTCTAAGGAAATCAGAAGAAGGATGGAAATAGCTAGGGCTAAGATTGCGCTAGCCAGTGACCGGATGAAAGCTCGTTACGACCTCAGAGCTAATTCTACGGGATTTCAACAGGACGATAGGGTATGGTTGTATAACCCACAGCGCAAGAAAGGAAGGTCCCCAAAGTTAGCTCCAGCATGGGAAGGTCCTTATACAGTCAGGATAAATGATGTTGTGTACCGGATTCAACGCAGCCCTAGAAGTAAGATGAAAGTAGTTCATCTGGATCGATTGAAGAGATACCAGACAGGAAACCTTGATCGGGACGATCAAATTTGAGAAGGGGGCAATGTCAAGGTCAAGGTGTATTACTGGTTGCATAACTGCATTACTGCTACATAACCGCAACGAGCATTGAGGAACCTGGCGAATTCTTTAGAACGTCCCAGAAACACTCGCCAGGGGGTATCAGTTGACAGTTGACAGTTGGAAGTTTGAATATACCGCGCTTGAAATTATTACGAATCGGACAATTTGGTGAAGGAATTTTATAAATAGTTAGTTATTGTGTGTATAAAGTGAGATAATAAATTCGTTAAGTATTTTATCGTGAATTTAAATTAGTGGACCCACGGAATCCGTAACAATATTTATTTACCTTGCATTAATTTCAGTTATCCTCAGCAACAGCTCTTCAACCTTGTCATTATGCTTCTGCTTCAAATGATATGTTTCTTCCTCGTGAGCCCGTATCAGTTCTTGAATTCTCTTTTCGTATTCGATGATGAGCTTGCTTTGCTCCGAGTTTTTCTCTTGCATATGAACGGAACACGATTTATCGGACATTTCGATTTTTGACTTATATGGAGATCTAAAAACATCATAATACTAAGTAATTCTATATTTAGAATGCGTTAATGAGATTCATATCTAAAAAAGTTTATTCAGTGTATAAAAACTTTAACATTTGATATTTTGGTTTCTTATACAACGATGGATTAACCGCATATGTATAAGTAATGTAGTATCGATTCGCACCTTGTATAGTCATCGTTGGAGTGAATGGAAGAGTTGGTACCGTCATCAAAATGGCCGGAATCAGCAAAGGAACTGTTTAATTCGACAGGTACAAGGTGAGTACGCAAATCAGCAACATCGCCATCAGGAGTGGTCTCTTCGCTTGCGTTTTCCTGCAAAATAAATTATGATTGTTAGAAGCGTAAAAAAAATACAACACTTTCAGTAACATTTATAATGTAATAAAATATTTATTTTATTTAAAGCTAAAGATTACTGGGATATTTGAATATTTATTCGGGTAATATTTTGTAAATTTTGCAATTTTAAAGAAACTATTTAATAAAAATTAATTACTTTAGTTTAATTTAATATTTTTGTCCTTGTTTCTTTACAATTTTTTAAGATTATTTTGAATTGTGTAGTTATTTGTCATTGCTATTAGAAAACTATTCGTTTTAATTGTTTATAAATAAACTAACCTAACCAAAACATTCTAAAAATATATTATATAAATCGTATCTTAAGAGAATTTACTTTTCTGTAAACTAAAACCAATATATGATATACTATGTATATATGATACAATTTCTGCGCTGTAACTTTAGATGAAAGAAATCAGTTTATTAAGTATTACTATTTTACAACAAAATAATTCACTTGGAACAGTATCACTCTCCCATAACTAATAATATACTACAACATACATATGTATAAAACATACAACATTTAAATTTTCGTAATTTTCTACATGCAGCTTCATATTTATTTATATTTTCTATTATAAGGCTCGTTATTGTTTTAGTTAAAATAAACTATTTAATTTTTTACCGGTGGCATAATAATGTAAATAACTTCAAATAATAATAATTACTAATTACCAGCACAACTTGTTCTGCACCAGCTGGTCGTCTACGCTTGATTTTGATTTTTTTTGTATTCGCGTTTCTTTTTGTTATATCAGCTGTACACAATGGACCATCCTTGGTAATCAAGGACAGTAACACAATTGCCTAAATACTATATGATCGTAGTATTTTCTTATACACTTCAAAGAAATGAGGCAAAAATGACAATGCATGGTTTATGAAGTGGATGAACGATTCTTGATAATGAACTCTCTGATGACAACGATTCTTTCGAAGTGGCCATAATAGTGACCTATCATGTAGAACAGTCATTACAAAATATAGATAAGATACATGATAAGCGATTATCTAGGTAAGTACGTAGATTTGCAACAAATCTTAAGTCGACAGGCTGGTTATGAAGAGGTTGTGTTAGTAGTTTCCAAGATTTTTTTTTCAGTGAATGAACTCACCCTGACTGTTACAGCATCACTACTGTTTGATTTGTCTTCAGGTGAGCTAAGTGCAGCTTTATAAAGTCTTAATTCCACTACTTCTTTGGTTAATTTCAATATATCACTATCTTTTTGCTCGAGATCTTTCTTGGCTTGATGTAATAGGTGTTTTAATTTTTTGACCTGCCTGAAACATGAACCAACAAAATTATTGTATTAATAACAACTATAAAATATAATTAAATGAAATTCAATTAAAAAAAATATCTTAAATAAAGAAATTCTATTGTTTTCCATATACCTACTCGTAATAAAATAATATGAATATTAATAATAATAAATTAAAATTTATGCGATCTTATTTTTGATTTATTGATATTTTAAATGGGGAATTTTCCCACAAATAATAGTATAATTGGATTTTTTGTCGAGACACTGTCCTTCAGAAAAACAATTAATATGAGAACAAACACGTTAATCAATAACTTTATAAATTTAATTAATCAATAAGAAAAAGAGGAACAAAGTATTGTGTAACAATAACGTTCTATAACAGACACCTGAACCTAATTTAATAATCTGGATCTATAATGTAATAATAAATAAGTAATAAAATAAAAATATAAATAAATAAAATATAAATTAAAAGCGTTTGTTTTCTATTTTAATCATTAAATAAAAAGAATAAGGAGGAAGAAGTACATTCAGAAAATTAGCGAAAACGCAAAGGTTTTTTAACATGGCTAACTTGAATTTCGGTTTACCAGTGGCGTTCTAATTATTTTTAATGCGTTACATATACTTATATATAATTTTTAATAGTGTTGACCCACTAGTTTTCTGATTAGGTTGTAAATAAAAATAAATCCATTAAAGTTATTAATTAATAATACAAACACAGATACGCCACTGAATGAAAGAAGTAAAATTCATATAATTGATTTATGCTAATTAATTTTGAGTTATAAAATAAACAAGAAAAAGGCAAGAAATATTAAAAAAAGTATAGATATAAATGCACATTTCGCGTAATTCAAATATTCGCATAAAGTCAAAATTGAAAGAGAAAATTCAAAGAGTGTATTTGACCCTTCATTTTTCTTTCTATTCAATAGCTTTTACCTCGTATAAAAGAGCTATAATTAATTAAATATTTAAAACGTTCTCTAACCCAATGTGAGTTCATAAATGCAAAACTCTAGCTAGGGGAATGGGGTACTCAAACCTCATATTCTTTTTGGGGCATAATAATTTTTTGGGCTCATAATTTTTTTTTATATATAAGTTTGGGGCTTTTTGGTTTTAGATTATTAAGTAATTGTTATCAGGTAGTAATTGTTAATTTTGAAGTTTAACTTGATATAATGTCATTTTAAAGGGCGTTAACGGTTTCTTGTAGACGTATCTGTTTTAAAAAGTAAAGTGTTCTCGAATAGTTGAATTTAAATATTTCAAATAGTTTTTTTCTTTATTCTTTGTATTTTTTTGCTCCGACGACGGAAAGAGATAACTTTCCGAAACGTTAAGCATTTTTTTCTTTGTTAGACAAATTTGTATTACTGTAAACATAACTTTTGACAAGCAGCATCCGTTTAGTTTTAACGCAGAAGTGCTTACAAAAAATAATTATTTTATTTTGTAGATTTTCTTGCAGTGCAGTGGCGAAATACCCATAAAGGATTTTTTTGGCCTCATAATCTTTTAATTTTTTTTATTTCAAAAAATATTTTAATTAACAAAAATAATTTTTTGAAATAAAAAAATTGAAAATATTGTGAGGTTTGAATCCCCCCTCCCCCTCGCTAGAGGTTTTGCGTTTAATTAAATATTTATTTAATTTTTAAATAGAGATCAATAGAATTTTTAGAAATGTTCTACAAATATGAATCGAACTTGCCTATGCGCCCTCTGTGTTGGTGTTAGGTAATCATCTCCTGCCACTCCCGAATGTTGATTGCAATGAAAAACATACCTAGCAGGAAGCGAAACCATAATATTATGAGAATTATTCAACTAGTATGCTATCTGCTATCTATTACCAAAACCGCAACAGGCTAATGGCCTGTTTAAACCATAACGGGTAAGTACTTACTTCATACTCCTTCCCGAGAAAGTGGTACCATTTCTGGCGACGCTGGCATGATCACAGGAAGCCACGCTGCTACCTCCAATAAAAAAAAACGTTATACTATTATTTAAATTTCTATTAAAAAGAATTAGTTTTGTTTTGTCTATATGTTACGGTTAAAGTCCGATGCCCGGTTAATGTTGACATTACTCGGTTAATCTCGAGAATAACACAAAACAAAACAACCAAAAACATAACCAAACCCAATGTTAATGTCTACATTAACCGGACATCGGACTTTAACCGTAACATATACATATAGAATATATGTAGGTAAAATTTGGCCCTATATAGGGCAGAGACAATTTCGACGAATGATATACAAAAATATTGTTGTATTAATTTTTTTGGTAATATTATACAGGGTGTCCCAGAAATAAGTGCAAGTATTTAAATAGTATTTTTGAGAAAAAAAAATTGAAAATTTGGAATTTTTTGTAAAAAAATTGAAAATTTTTTTAGTTTTAAGTTAAAAAACATAATTTCTTGATAATATGGCAACATAGGTGGTAGATTAAATTTATATGAAAGAAAATCCAGAAAAGATCAAGTTTTATTTTTTTTTTATTTTTTCATTTAAGATCATTTTTTAAGCAAAAAAGCATTTTTTGTTTAAATTTTCAAAGTAAAATAACTCGGTTATTTTGGACTTACTTGAAAAACGGTAAAAAGAAAAAATGTTTCTTTTGATCAGATCTACCACCCCTTAAAATACTTGCACTTATTTCTGGGACACCCTGTATATACCTACAGCGTCCCCTATCTCACGTAAAGGTGTAAATCAAAAAAGAAAAAAATGAGTTATGCTACTTGAGACTTCGCTATTGGCAGACTTGGGTCGAATACTGAAATCCGGTATTCGAATATGAATCCTGAATACTGTATTCTAAATTGTATTCGAATACTCAAGATTCGAATATAAAGAAAAAAAATTTCGAATACCGCTGTATTTGAATACCTGGATTCATTTAAATATGAATACTTTTTGAATATTCCAACAAAAAAAACATATCCGTACTTTAAATTTGATTTTTATTTATGTGCTTAAGTTATAAAAATATGGACCACAATAAGGTAACAAAAAATAACTGTACATATAGCAAAAAAAGCTTATCTTCTTAAAAAAAATCTTAAATAATAAATAAAACAACAACTTCTTTTTCCTGATAAAGAAGGGACATTAAAATAGTCAGGAATTAGCCTCCGTCTTTTTGCGCACTCTTGCTCATAATCGGAGTCGGACGAACCTCCAACGGCTCCAACAAACGGTTCTTCTGGCTCTGAACCATCAGAAATGGTTTCCCGGGTGACGATATCTTTCTCCATCGGTAATCTGCAAAAAAAAATCTCTTTACGTTAAATTTATAATATGACAGGTGAATCTATTACTTAACCATACATAGAAACTCCGGAATTAACCATTTGTAAGATATTTATTTAATAATGTTTAATTACCTTGATTTTAAAATCCGAATATTAATTTGAAATATTCATCAACCAAATAAAAATGGCAAAATAAAATTATAAAAGGTTAATCATTGTTGCTTAGTGAAACAAAAGTTGACCTTTATCCAAATCTAAAATCTACAGAAAAGGAAATTTACAATATCCATAAAATGGCTGATAATTTAGAGACCCGATTGTTTGAAACACCATGTATATTTTTTTTAAAAATCTTAAAATATATCAAAAATAAAATAAAATACACATGTTGAAGCGTTTTTCATAAAACTAACGGTCCTTCAAATAAAAATTATTTTAATATTAAAGGGATGATTTCAGTGAGTCAATCGAGCATTTTATATATTAGTATAGATTACTAGAATAAAACTTAATAGGAGAATACATGAATCTTACACAATGTACCCACTTAATTCAAAAATTAACTTACCTTTTTATATATCTATGTACTTTGTCTGGTTAGTCTGGTATCACATACAAATTATAAAGGTGCGTATTCATTATCCGAACGAACGAACGAACGAGCGAGCGAACGAATGGGATTCGGTATATTTGGACGGTGGACCGAACGCATGCGGTCGTTCGTTTGTTCGTACGCTCGGTCATCCGTTTCGAGTCGGTACATCAAAGGCGTTCGCAAACGAATGGGTTAAGGTGTTTTCGTTTGGTTCTAAAATCCGGTCCCGTCCATACTACTACCGAACGAACGAATGAACATTCGTTCGTTCGTTCGGATAGTGAATACGCACCTTAACAGGTATTAAAATTTATAATAAAATACCTAGAATGGCGATACTGCACAAGTGCACACGTAATATCTAATCATGATCCTTAAGCGACCTGTCTCGTCTCATGATTTGGCGATGATTAAATCGTCCTATTGCTGCCAAAAGCCACTAACTAACATTTTTCCGAACAACCAAATTCAATCACTAAATATGTTTTAAAGCGGAGAATCGATTGCAAAAGTAATTAACTACGATTTCTGGCTATTTATGTTTTATTTTAATACCGAATAGTTACTAACTATAACATCTTTATGCGATGCAATTCATCTTTAGACGCATTTTTCTCGGAAGTAATAAAAAGTAAGTTAGTGACTTTTGGCAGCAATGGGACAAAATTTAAGCCGATTGTCGGCATCGCGAATTGAAAACCGTCCGCAACCCCCGCGAACGTGTTTTAACAAGCTTAAGTTGCGTAAAGCGTAACGCAATATTCATAAACAAAATCAAACAGGATTCGAATACCGGGATTCCAATACAGGATTCGAATACCGGGATTCGAATACCTGGATTCGAATACAGGATTTGAATACTGGGATTCAAAAACGGTATTCAGAATCCAGAATACTGATTACTGACCAAAAAAGTATTCAGTCGAATATCAAATACCAAATACACAAATGTATTCGAATAGTATTTGAATACCAGTCAAAAGTATTCTGAATAGGATTCAGAATACCGAGTATTCCAATACTACCCAAGTCTGGCTATTAGCACAACTTTTATCTCAAGAAGTGCTAAAGGTGGCTATCACGGTATCAAGGCAGTGATAATATTTAGATTCGAGATATCTTACAAAAATTATAATTTTAGTACAGGTAATTTTTTATTTTGTTTTCTTCTGGCAATCAATAAGTATTCAGGCATCGACTTTAATAAATCAACAATTTCATCTCTGATACCAAGCATCTGAGCGTAGGACAAATTTTGGCCATACATAAAAAAACTACCCCCCCCCCCCAATGAAGTTGAAACCAACGAAATCAAAGCTCTTTCCTGCAACTTGCAGTTATAAATAGTCAGATCTAGTAGGCAAAAACCTTGTCATATATATGTTACGGTTAAGGTTCGATGTCCGGTTAATGTCGACATTACCCGGTTAATCTCGAGAATAAAGCTACGTCCACACCGAAAGCAACACCTAGGAACATTATGTTTATGTTGCTTGTTCCTGGAACTTCACCTTTTCAAACATCTTCAAATCATTCAATTTAATAGCTGTTAGTAAGAAGTTATACTTCAAATATGCGCACATAGAGCACACACAATTTTTTTTATTACTAGAACTCAGATAATAAAAATTGAATGACTTTTTTTTATCGAACATTGAATGAATAAAACCGCGTATAAGTGAACGGCGTAAAATAAGGCACTGATGTTAAAAATGCCAACGCGTATAACGCATACCGCGTAAAACAAGGGTATTTTGATTTATTATGGTTGATGTGTATAATTTTCAGTTTTATTTATCTCTTAGGTTTATCTCCAATTAAAATAATTAAATCTTTAAGATTAGAAAAGGTTCTAAAATAATGTTTCAAAAGTTTAAATTATAATCCTTTAATATGTGAAATTGTCATAAATATGCATCTAATAAGTGAGGTAACAACTAGGAATATCGTGTTTATTCTTCATTATTTTGGGTCGGTTTAATATGAATTTAACATATGACCTTAAGTACAACAATTTGTAAATGTTTCACAAGTTAAATTTAGGAACCCTATCGTGTTAATTGCTACTAAAATATATATTCCATGTGATCGAAAATAAAACGGCGTCAGGTTGGGTTTTGAAATATTGATGATAATTTTTGTCGGACTGGCTCCTGTCCTGTATTTTTTAGGAATTTTTTGACACAATCTATTTTTTAAAAAATATTTTTTTTTTAATTTTAAAGTTTTAGTGTCAATTTTCATTAATAACATTATACCGGGTGCGTCTCGAAAGTGGCTCACCCCTATAACTTGTTTATTTTTTCAGATAAAAAAAGAGATTTTGGTATGGAGGTATTGGAGGTATGTTTATATGACATAAATTAGGATTGATTGACGTATTCAATTGTTTTCTGTCACTTCCTGTTTCGCCGGAAATGACACAACTTTTTGATTTTTAAATGGTACCCTCGGTTTTTTGTTGCTTTATTCGATAGAAAATGATACTCTGAATAGAATGACATATCATATGTCAACTTTGACTTTTTCGCATATGGTTTATTTGAAATTATAACATGCGATAATTTGACTCGAAATACCAAGTGTGTGGTATCAAATTACTCGTAAAAAAATGCTTTGTCCAAATATGCTAATGAGCCACCCTCGTTCCATTTGAAAAAATTGAGATGTGATTAAAAATACGATTTGGGCATCTTTTAACCAGCCAGGACAAGACATGAATAACATTAGACGATCAAATCTATTTTTCCAAGGCTCCTTGATTAAAAATTAGTGTTTTTAACATAGCCATGGACTCTAGATTGAAATTTAAAATTCAATTTTGTTTTAAACAAAAATGTGAAAAGTTGACATATGATATGTCATTCTATTCAGAATGTCATTTTCTATCGAATGAAGTAAAAAAATACCGGGGATACCATTTAAAAATCAAAAGTTGTAGTGATTTCCGGCGAAACAGAAAGTGACAGAAAACAAATGAATATGTCAATCAATCCTAAGTTATGTCATATACTAACATACCAAATCTCGTTTTTTTATCTGAAAAAATAAAAAAGTTATAGGGGGTGAGCCACTTTTGAGACGCACCCAGAATAACCTGACAAAACCTCATTTAGTTGTCATTTCAAAAATATTAATTTTTTAATGTCTATTATATTCGAAGCCGAAATTTAAATTATTTAATTATTAATTGTTTATCAAAACAAATTATTATTTTGTTTTTATTACGTTATCTAAAATATCTGGTCATTATTCCTGTATTTTAATATTTACTTTATTTAATTACATTACAATTTAATTTAATAACATTTCTAAAAATACAATTATTTTATTTAACAGAGAAAATGTGGTAATTTTTATAATGGCCAATAAGTGAGCCGCTCCTAGTGAGTAATTTGAACAAGAAGAAAGTGTATTAAAATAGATTAGATTTTAATTTTCTTTATTGTTTTAATTAAATTAATACTCCCTATAGTGAACTCCATTTTACTATTGAATATATATCTCATTTATTTGATTTTTATTAAATAATTCGTATTATACAGTATGTCCCCGGATTGTCTTTACAAGAGGATACAGTTTTTTATTATTGACATTTTAAGAAAAATGCATTCTTAATAAAAATTTTGTTTGTTCTAAAATGGTTAATGGTTAATCCCTTTTATACTTTTCCAAATTTCCATACCGTTTTAGAGAAAATTAAAAAAAAAACATAAAAATATTGTTGATTTTTTCAACAAATAACAACAATATGTATGCCTTTCTTCTGATTTAACATTTAGAATTTAGAGTTGCTAAATCAGAGGAAAGGTGATTTATATATTGTTATTATATTGTTGAAAAAATTTAATATGGATTTTAATATACAGAAGAATTATATATCAAATATTAAACATATTTTAGTCTAGAAATATGTTTTATTTTATATTAATCCGATTTTGTTACATTTTTACTCTTCCCCACTAGTGAAATTCCGATTGACCCCTTCTCCCTTGGTTTCCTCACGTTATTAATGAATGCATACCTCCTTTCGTATGAATTTCCTGGATCACCCTGTATATACAGGGTTGTTCACCCCATACGACACGGAGTATTGTAGCTAAACGATTAGATTTTCACAAATTATAAGTTTTGGGTTCGTTGAAGAACTATTAGAGCTACAATTTAAAAATATTTTTACAAGATACAGAGTGTCCCAAATAAATAAAAAATATCAAAGTTGTATTTTTTTAAATAGAACATTCTGTATATTATTACATTTTTAGTTTCTACGATTAAAATAAAGGTAAATTTGATTAAGGTTTATTACACTTAAACCTTACCGTTTTTGAATTTTTTTCAATTTTGTGAAATTGCAGTAAACATTTTAAGGCTTCATTTCTCCAAGGGTATCAAAGTTTTTAATACTAAATATTTACTGAAGTTTATTTATTGATCCTGTATCTTTTAGGAGGGAGTCAGATGCACAATTTAATTGTCTATCAAATTGTATTATACCATTTTTACCTATTCCTTCAAGTTTTCACAGAAAACGCGCATTTTCTTATAATTTAGACCTCATTTATCAATATACCCATGGAATATTGACATTTTAAATTGTTTTTTAAACAAATAACAAAATGTACGGGCTAGTAATATTATTGTTTTTAGCAAAACGGTAATATTACTAGCCCATTTGTAGGCAAAAAGAAAACTATTTAAATATTTATAAAAGAGTATACCATTAAAACGTCTCTGTTGTTACAAATAAGCATTTATTAAATAATAGAATATCATTTTTAAGGTGTTACTTTTTACCACACTGTCTAATACACATACAAAACTCAGTTTTTTAGTATTTGAGGCAATTAATATTAATTAACGTAAAAAATATTAATAACGTAAACAGGCAGTTAATGTAGTTTGAATACTGGAATCATATTAATTGGTCCTCTTTAACAAATATTTAAACAGTTTTTTTTTGATTTTTTAATGATATAAATGAATTATATCGACAATATTAGTATCTGCACTCTTTAAAAATAATCTAAACTGTCAGTATTCCATGGGTATATTGATAAATAAGTTTTCGTAAGAAAATGCATTTTCAAACTTAAAGAGATAGGTAAAAAAATAATTTGATGGTATATGACCATCATAAAACGAAGTGTTCAATGCGTGTCGTTGAAAGCTAATAATTATTCAAATAAATTTTAGACACTCAGTAGTATTACTGATAATACCTAACATCATATGATATTCGCCAGCGGAGAAAGCTTGATTTCTAAAATTCAAGCAAGGTCATCATCTGCCTGTAAAAGCTCATACAGGGTGTTCCATTTAAAAAATAAAACTTTGATATTTTTTGTTTATTTGGGACACTCTGTATCTTGTAAAAATATTTTAAATTGTAGCTCTAATAGTCCTTCAACGAACCCAAAACTTACAATTTGTAAAAATTTCATCGTTTAGCTACAATACTCCATGTCGTATGTGGTGAACAACCCTGTATAACTGTACCTACCAGGTGACCGGGTGACCCAGAAATAAGTGCAAGTATTTTAAGGGGTGGTAGATCTCGATAAAAGAAACATATTTTCTCTTTATCGTTTTTCAAATAAGTCCAAAATAACGGAGTTATTTTACTTTGAAAATTTCCACTTTGAAAATTTTTCCAATTTGAAAATTTTTGCTAAAATTTTAAGAGCCGCTGGATCTTTTCTGGATTTTCTTTCTTGTAAATGTAATCTAATGTAATCTAATAATCTAAAAATGTTTACTACCTCTGTTGCCATATTATCAGGAAATTATGTTTTTTAACTAAAATTTTTCAAAAAATTCCGTATTTTCCAAATTCTTTTTTTCGTGAAAAAAACCTCATAGGCGTGTTTCTGGGGTTGAACTATACTACCAGTTAAAATACTTGCACTTATTTCTGGGACACATTTATAATAAATTCTATATTACTTGGGCCATTTGCAAGAACCTGGGTCAATTAAGAACACGTAAATGTTTAGACACAATATCTATCTTATTTTGAAATATTCATCCTATATAGGGTTAGTGTTAAATAAGTGCAAGTATTTTCTCGATAAAAAAACATATTTCGTTTCTACCGTTTTTCAAATAAATCTAAGATCAGTTTAGAGTGAAATTTTAAGAAAAAAAATGATTTTTTGATTAAATTTTGAGAACCACTAGATATTTGGGTTTTCTTTCTTGTGAATTTAATATACTACATATATTGCCATATTAACAAGAAATTATGTTTTTTAACTAAAATCTAAAAATATTTTGAAAAAAAATTTCAAAAGATTCCAAATTTTCAAAATATTTTTTAGCGAAAAAAAAACATTACAGACGTGTTTTTGGGGTCAAAATATACTATCCCTAAAAATATTTGCACTTATTTGAGACTCATCCTGTATACATATGTATGTTATATTATAGAAAAATCCAATTAAAAATAGCGCACTCAATTAATCGCATGGAAAAATTTAGAGCAGTGTTTCTCAAAGTGATTCAGGAATCAAGACACAAAATCATATCGTTATATCTAATAATCACATTTTTGACAAGTTTTGGGAATATGATAGAAATGTAGCAGCATAGAAGGGTGCACTGAAATCAGTAAAATTTTAAAAGTAGTGTTCGTGAAAAAAAAGTTTAGAAATCTCTGCTGTAGAGTATAGTTTAATGATGACGCTACAATCATTGTATCGTATGATCGATAATCTATAATCTATATATCTATAATAATAATCTAAAAATATCTCCCCATATAATTTTACATAAAAAGTGATAGCGATGTTCATTTCATAGCCATCGCTGACGCCGTTTTTTTTCGATCGTACGGTATTATTGACCCCTCTACAACATTATGAAGTAAATTAAGTGATCCTTACCTATACTGGTAATGCTGTCCGTCTCCCAAGAATCCAAATGACTAGCCGAATGGTTTTTTGCTGGCGATACCGGATTGCTTATTCCTGCAGATGGCGACTTCGGACTAGACAATCGCGAACTAGACAGCGACAGCGACTGCAACAACAACAAGAACAATAAAAGCCATTTTTATCCACCGTAAAACCGCGACGATTTAATATAAATAAATTTCACCTCAGAAAAAGACCAACAAAAATCCGTTCTAGATAGCTTAAGTTTAATGTTTAATCTAGGCGAAAATAACGAATTGCTGTAACGGTTTTGCCTGACACAAATAATACTGTGTATAACTTATAATTTAAATAATAAATTTTCTTACACGACATGACAAACTTTTCTGACTTCTGGGCTTGAATATCTTCATTTTCGGGATAAATAGTTTCGAATTTTACTGAAATCTATACCTAGGTACTCTTCACTACAGAAGATAGTAGTATACTAACATGATGGCTAGTTGCCATGTAAAATGAATAAATAACTATGAAATTCTCACATCAGGTTGCATTAATGCACCGGTGGGAAAATTTCAGCTTCGGTGGCAAAACGGCTTAGCTGAAGAGATTGGAGAAGTTTATGTGAGATTCTTATTAATATTCATAAGAAAATTAAAAACAAACGTCTCTCCTATCTGCTATATGCTTCTTAAATAGAATAATTATGTATGTATTAAAATTAGCCCTCACATAAGTGAATTTGTTGCTACTGTTACTATACAGGGTTTTTTTGTACTACCTCTTCATTGAAAAGTTCGAGGATTAATTTAGATTTTTTAATAATGTCTTTATTCAATTAATTGTTTAATTTTTTTTTCGAAGTATGCTTTCTTATCAAAATAAGAAAAATAAAATAAACTAACAGAACCAAATAAACAGTGTGGTCCGAACTGTACTCCGGAAACTTCGGCATCATATTCTGCAGATAAAAATAAGAAAAAAGTTCGTATATGTCCTAAAAGGCTTAGTTTCGGAGATACAGGGCGTAGAAGTTTAATTTTTATTTCGATTTTTCCCAAATAATTTTTAAAGTAACGTCAATATTTGGATGAAAATTAGTGTCGGAGTTTTTTGACATGAGAAATTTGATCTTGATGTCAATATGACTCCTACATGTAGAGGGCGCCACCTAAAAAATATACATTTATGACGTTTTTTACGTAAAAAAGATCTCTTGGTAAAATCGCTACTAGTAATGGTTCTCGAGATATTTGGAATCGAAATTATCAATACCTGTCATCACTGACATAAGTTAAACATGTTGACTAAATAGTTATTAGACTAAAATCATAATTTGAAATGTTTTTGTGTCAATAGTTTAACAGAAACTGTTTTATCATAATTTTTCGCAGAAAATTTATGATTAACAATTTAAAAAAAATAAAATTTCCCAAATTTATTATTTCAGTCAAATAACTATCTACTCAACGTATTTATGTTTTGTCAATAATAACATGTATTGACTATTTCCATTCTAAGTATCTTGAGAACGGTTGCTCTTGACGATTTTTACCAAGAGATATTTTTTACGTAAAAAGTCACGGAAATGTATATTTTTTCACTCAGCAGTTTTATACAGGTACGGACGAAAGTTATTACTTTTCAAAACAGTTTAAACACAAATAGGTGGCGCGCTCTTCTATTAGGATTCATCTTGACATCAAAATCAAATTTCTCATGTCAAAAGACTCCCAGACATGAATTTTCATTCAAATATTGACCTTACTTCAGAAATTATTTGGAAAACATTGAAATAAAAATGAAACTTCTACACCATGTATCTCCGAAACTAAGCATTTTAGGACATATATTTATACGAACATTTTTGCTTATTTTTATCTGCAGAATATGCCGCCGAAGTTTCCAGAATACAGTTCGAACCACCCTGTATATTTTATTCTTTTTGGATTCTACATGGGATCTTAAATACATTTTGTGTATAATGTAAGTACTTGAGTTTAATCGTTTTTGAAAAGTCTCCAATTTTATGTTAAAAATGATATTTGCGGAGTAGTAATTAAATTTACAAGAAAGAAAATCCAGAAAAGATCCAGCGGTTCTCAAAATTTAAGCAAAAAATATTTTTTTTTCCAAATTTTCACAGTAAAATAACTCGGTTATTTTGGACTTATTGAAAAACGGTAAAGAGAAAATATGTTTCTTTTATCGAGATCTACCACCACTTAAAATACATGCACTTATTTCTGGGACACCCTGTATACATTTTATTCTTTTTGGATTCTACATGGGATTTTAAATACATTTTGTGTATAATGTAGGTACTTTAGTCTAACCGTTTTTGAAATGCCTCCAATTTTATGTTAAAAATTATATTTGCGGGGTAGCAATTATTAAATTTACAAGAAAGAAAATCCAGAAAAGATCCAGTGGTTTTCAAAATTTAAGCAAACATTTTTTTTTGGAAATTTTCACAGTAAAATCACTCGGTAACTTTGGACTTATTTGAAAAACGGGAAAGAGAAAATATGTTTCTTTTATCGAGATCTACCAGCCCTGAAAATATTTGTACTTATATTTGACTCACCCTGTATATTTGATCGATTTAAGCAATTCTAATGAAGAATTCCATATTCTATATTTAAAAAGACATTTTTGAAATTATTTTTTGCTTAAATTTTGAGATCTATTGGCTACTTTCTGGGTTTACTTTCTTGTAAATTAACATATTAAGGTGCGTATTCATTATCCGAACGAACGAACGAACCAACGAACGAACGAACGAACGAACGAACGAACGAATGTTCGCTAGTGGTATGGACGGGGACCGTACGATAGAACCGCACGAGAAGACCGGAGGCATTTGTTGGCGAACGCCTTTGATGTACCGACTCGAAACGGATGGTCGAGCGAACGAACGAATGAACGGCCGCATGCGTTCGGTCCCCGTCTAAATATACCGCACTTTCATTCGTTCGTTCGTTCGTTCGGATAATGAATACGCACCTTTATACTCAAGATATTATGTTTTTGTTTTTTGAATAGAAATATACTACTCCTAAAAATACTAACTAATTGCAGTAATTTAAGACCCACCCTGTATATAATAACTATCCAGTTATTGTTTTAGTATATGTACTTCGACCTGGTGTAATACGATAAGAAACTTGTTTTTTACTTTTACATTTCTTTATAACATAAGAGAGTAATAAATATAAATTCTCTAGAGTTTCGCGTTGAACAAGTTGGTTGCAATTAGGTCATCTTTTCAATTATTTAAATGGCATGTCTGTGCAACGACTTATTTATGTGCTTAAAGGCTTACGCCGACTGAATATAGTCCCTACAGATCTTTATGTCTTTTCCGGAATAGCATGATATCACTGGTCGATATCTAAAATATTCTAAAATAGGTTTTCAAAGCATTTTCCTCAATTTCTAATAAATAATTTAGATACATTTTTACATCAATTACATTTAAATTATCAACTTCTTCTTCTTTCTCTGCTTATCCATTAATGGATGTTTGCGACCACACTTTCCATGGCTTCCCTATCTCTGGCTGTGTGGATCAACGTCTGTATGTTACTAATGCCTGTCCACTGTGTTATGTTCCGCAGCCACGACATTTTTCTCTGTCCCAAACCTCTTCTACCCTCGATAATCAACTGGAGAAATTGGTATTAATGGTTACGCATGACGTGACCCAGGTATGCAGTCTTTCTTTTTTTATAGTGTTGAAGAGTTCACGTTCTCTATTAATACGTCTGAGCACATCCTCGTTTCTTATCTTGGTCGTCCATGGTATCTTGAGGATTCTGCGGTATATCCACATTTCGATCAAATCATCAACATCATCATCATATTCAGCTTATTCAACCATTTCCAATTATGGTGTAGCCTTCCTCACATATTTTGATACTCTTTTTGTAGTTGGCTATGCGGGCCCAAGTTACTCCTGCTTATTTCCTAATATCATTGTCCCATTTCAGGTTCTAGGTAGAGACCTCGTGGATTGATTCCTCCTTCATGCTGTTTTTTTTAGTCAATCTGTTTTAGTCCATTCTGTCCGTTCTTCTTGCCAGGTGTCCTGTCCATTGCCATTTGAGGGATTTAACTCTGTGGATGACATCTATTACCTGGATCTTTTGTTGTATCTTGTATCCACTCTATTCTTTTACGCTCTCTTGGTTATTCCTAGCATATTTCGTTCCATTGAGCGATGTGCGTCCTGCAGTTTCCTTATTATGTCCGTTTTAACTGTCCAGGTTTCGCATGCATAGGTCATGACTGGTAGTACAGTCGGTTGGTTGAATGTTTTCTTCTATAGATAAAGTAGCATTCTAGATTTGAATATGACTGAGTTTCTTCCATAAGTACTCCATGCTAACTTAATTCTTCTGTTGATTTCTGGTAGTAGAGATCACGAGCTGTGTATTAATTGTCCCAAATATTTATATTCTTCTACTATTTACAGTGTTGTGTTGTTTATTAGAATGTATTTTCTTTCCACTAGTTCGTTGTGTTGAAATACCTACATATATCTAGTCACAGAACTATTTCCTTTTTTGAATGCTTTTTTATGTAATTAAATATTTTGCATAAGTAAAGCCGAGAGTAAAGCCAATAGAGCCAATAAATTAAACAGTTTTTTGTTTGAAAAAACGTTTAGCAGGAATTTTAGGTAGTTTAAATTCCAAAGATGGCGTTTCATATTGTGTAATTATAATTGGCATAAAGGTCTGATAGCATAGAAGATTCTTGCTGTGTTTTTGACATTTAAAACACTAAGTGCCTGAAAAAGTATTTTTTTTATTTAATAGTTACTTGGTTTTCAGCCTTTCACATTTAAATTCAACAGTTGTTATTATGTAGTCTATGAGATCTTATTTATGGTAAAAAATAACTCTTTAATTAAATCTCTATAATAAGTCAAATACTAAAGTTTATAATAAACTGAATTTACGAATTAAAGTTGATATATTTATATGTACACAGTTTCCAGGAAAAATAATGAAAATTGGGCTAAAATTAAAAAATATTAAACACATTAAATAAAAATAAAAAATTTGACGAAAACTTTTTCCGTTGCGTTTTTTGCATCTGAGTGTATAATAAGTTTTCAGCTATTAACTGTAACAAAAA